GGATAAATAACCAGAGTTTCATTTCATGGATTCGTGAATTCCGAGAACAGAATTCCTTTTATTAGGGGGGAAGAATGTAATACCCCAATATTTTAAAGGATTTATTAATTAAAATTAATTACTTTTATTTTATTTTTAAATAATTTGTTTTATTTAATTAAGTTCATAGATAAATTATGATTTGTTTTATTTAATTAAGTGCATAGATAAATTGTCTTGTTTTAATTAAATTATATTTTGTAATTTTATTTGTTAAATTTATATGGTGCTTGATTTGTGGAATGCTATGAGTGAATTGTTTATTTTATTTGTGTGTATTTAAGCTTGTGTGATTTTATTGTGAATTATTTATTTTAATATGTTTCATTTAATTATTTTATTTATTTAAGTTAATTGGTTTCGACTTAAAAGGAGTGGGACCAATAGATGTAGTCTAGGGCTTGAATGAAACTTTATTGGGTTAGTTAATAAAGACCCATGATTATGAAGATATTTACAATAATTATCTTTCTATAATTATATATATATATATGAAAGGAATATGTATATACTATATAATATATATGTGTATAGATATTTCTTATTTAAAGATTATTATTTTATTATTATTTTATTTGGCAGTCATAATTGGAAAAGAATTTGGATTTTTAATGTGTATAAATATACGCATAAGACTTTAGGGTTAAAAAATTTTTACGTTTGAAAAATAAGAGAGTTAGAAAAAGAAGAAGAATGGCTGACAAAGAGGAAGCCGGATCAGAGAAATAGGACGTCGGATTTGGAAGAAACAGGCGAGTTCTTCTCTACTTCTCCCCTTAGAACTCATAAGTTTATCACCTTGATTATCAAAATTATAATTTTATTTTATTAAATTAAATTATTAATCAGATTAGATGAGCATGTTTATTCTTTACAAAATTATAGATTTAAATATATGAATATATATATGAATTGTTTTGATAATTTAAATATTGTATGTGAGGTTAGGTTAATTAAACTTTATTTCTGAAATTTTTATAATTTGCTTTAACTTTGCGTAGCATGATTAATTAGATTAAATGGATCATAATATAATTATATATATTCATTTATGCCCAAAATTAATAAAATTAAGCTTTAGAGATTTTTCTAGAATTTTCTGGATTTATTTTATATTTTTTAGAATAGTGTTAGAATTATTTTGGAAATATATATATATACACACACACACACACACATATACATTAAAGTTGTTTAACATTACACTGGAGGGTTAACACAAATCGGCGCATCAAATAGGGGTTTTGATTTCGTGTGGGCAGTATATCATAGCTTAGTGTGTGTGTGTGAATCTGAGCCATTGAAGTTTAAAAATAATACTAAAAGGATTGAGTGCATTGCGGCACATTATAAGTTAATACACATGCAGCATCTAATGGTTTGATTTAGTTGATGAAAGGGAGATGATCCAGAGCATCGCAGCTTACTAGAGCACCAAACAGCAACCAATTAGAAGCTGCCAACACGAGCCGAGAGTGGATCAGGCGCGTGGATGTGCCTGCCATTGTGTCTTTGCACGTGGGGGCACGTGCAGCAAGTGGAGGAGCTTGTGGCGGCGCGTGGGAGCGCGTGCGGGGGTGTTTGATGTCCTGGTAAGGTCCTGTGGGGTCCGGTACATTTACAGATTTAATTTTAAGTCTGTGAGTGTTGAAATCAGCCACTAGAGGACATATTCTTTGGGTTTTGGATAGCCGTTAAGTGTTACTAAAATATTTAGTAGCATTTATTTACATAAAACAATTAGTTAATAAGTTATTATAGAAGGAGGTATACGGTGTGTGTGTGTGTGTGTGTATATATATATATATATATACAATTGTTTATATATATACAGGTATATGGTTTAATTAATTTATGATAAGTATGGAAGATTGTATATATATATATTTATTGATATATATGTATATATTTGATTTAAATAATCAACAATTATTATGGAATGTATTATACATACATATATATTATAAAATATATGTGTATATTTAGATCATTTATGATTATTAAATATTATAAATTTTATTTGGTATATCTTGATTTGTAGATGGTATGGTTGATTTAAAATCGTAATAGAGTGGTTATTAAATTATGGACATGCTTATAATTTGCATGTGAAGTCTATGTATGATTAAGCTTATAGTTAAGTTTAGGGTTAGTACATTGTATGATTAGGCTTATAGTTAAGTTTAAAGTTAGTACATTGTTGAATTGTAGGCATGGATGAGTTGTGAAAGGCTTGAATATATTGTTTTATTAGTTATGAATAATTTCATATATGTGAAGCATGGTTGAATTGTTAATTAATTTTATAAGTAAATATGCTTAAGGAGGCATGGTTGGATTGCTAATAAATAAATAAATATATTTATAATGGCCTGATTGAATTGTCAATGCATAATTAAATTGTTATGTGTTAGATGATTTAAAATTTATCTATAGATATTGTGCGTATAAGTTGATTAGGATTGGATATTCTTATTAGAATAATCTAGTACCTAAATGTCAGTTATTATTTTATTATATTAGTAAAATTATATTGGTAGAGAAATGGACTAAATGTCAAAGTATAGACATTAGCAATGTGATAAAGATAATTGAGATTATTATTTGGTTTTGGATTAAATGTGGTATTCTTTTAATTTAAAATTTGTTATTTTATTAAATTACTGTGTAGGGTGGAATTAAGGTTAGAGGAGTTTTTTTAAAAAAAGAAATTATAAATGGGGGATGGGTTTAGGTATGATTAATAATTAATCATTGGTGAATGATTTTGTCAATTTAATGAACCTATTAATAGATAGGATTATTGTATTATATATATAAGTATTTATATATTTGTAACATTGTATATTAAAGTTTAAGCTTTATTAGGGATGGTTTTGGTAGAGATGATCTATTTATTATTTTTCAGAGGCTTGGTAGAGAGAGCTTGCTCGTAGGGTTTAACCTGCAATTTATTTTTCAGATTATTAAAAGTTCAAGTTTCAAGGTTGAGGATCCGCAACTGGAGGACTTATCCATTCTTTCAGTTTATTTAAAAGTAAGATATTATTATTATTTCATTTGACATTATTATTTGCTTCTGAAATTTTGGATAGTAACTTTTGGTTAAGGGGTCCTTGAGTTACAGAATTCCCGAATTGTAACCATTGGAGAATTATTAATGAATTTACTATTTATTAGTTTTCTTCAGCGTATTTTTTTATTTTTTATTTCATTTTGTAATATGTGCTTGTTTAAATACTTTAATTGTTTTGATATCCCCTGGTTTTGTGCACGGATTTGATCAACCCGTGTTCTGAAATTAGAGGGTATCACAGCGTCCAACCTTTGAACAAAAATTGTAGTCGGTCGCTCAAATTCTCCACAAAGTTCATCAACATCTCTTGGGGTTATTTCTTTCTTCCATGTTGCCTCCCAAGGCTTCCCTTGATTTTTAGTTGTAATCAGCTTAATAGGGCTGACATCATCCTCATACAATTGTGCTTTAGCCGAATTGACACTTGCCACAAACAATTGTTTGTCTGCCCACTCTATCTTTACTTCATCTCTATTCCAAAAGATTAAAAACTGATGTAATGATGAAGGGATTGCATAATTGGGTTGAATCCAATCTCGACCGAGTAAAGCATTATAAGTTGCATCGGTCTCTACCACAAATAAAACTGTCATAGATGTCTTGCTTCCAACCGTTGTTTCTAGCAAAAGAACTCCTTTTGTTTAAGCCACTGAACCAGTAAAACCGCTGACAGTCAAGTCAGTCGGCACAAAATCATCTTTTGTTTTATTTAGAAGTTTCATTATCTTTGTAGATACTACATTAACGGTTGAGCCATTATCAACTAACACCCGGGAGATTAGAATTCCTTCTAACCAGATTTTGACGTAAAATGGCCTTAAGTGCTAACCTGTGATGATGGTTTGGTTTCTCCAAAATTGCTCTTGTTGGGCCATTTCCTGCCAAAGTTTCCTCTAATTGGTACTGAACCTTTTTCTTCAGTAACATAACCTTTGATTGTTCAATAGGTGCTGAAAGTTTAGACTAGTGATTAGAACCAACAATTTTCGACACTTCCTCACTATCTGGTTCTTCAACATCACCACTTAACTTAGAAGATTGATCAGGTTTTGCCTTAAATATCAGTGGTAAAATAAATGTCATATTGTAACTAACAGTTTTTTTAATATAATCAAATTGAATCTCATTCATTTCATCATCAATCAAATCATCATTATGCAAATTAATATCAATCATTTCTTCATCTTTGCCTTCTAAGTTATTTTCAATATCAAGCTCAACATTATCAAACTTCTTAGCAAAAGATGACATACCTTAAGGTTGACTCTGATTTCGGCCCTATTTCTTTCAACCCTTCTTAAGTCATTATTGCATCAATCGTTTTTTGCTGATTTTCTTTGTCACTTCTTCTTCGCCAATTGACCTGCATCTCATCTGATTGAGGGGTCAAATCCCTTGCTTTAACCCTTCTTTATCACGTATATTTTCATATATACGTGTATATGTACATATATGTTTACTATCATCGTTTTTTAAATTTATTTATTTATTTATTTAATAATTTAAGAGCTTGCAAAAATTATTTATAGGTATATAGATCCATCAAGCAACTAATCAAGCAATTTAATTTTGTTATTATTTTAAATTTTTATTATTATTACTACTATCACTACTATTACTATTATTATTAGTTATTATTATTCTTATTGTTATTATTATTAATCTTATTTTTAATTCGCAGGGATTAAAAGTGATTCACATTTCTTGCAATCAAGCAATTTATTATTATTATTATTAATACTACTACTACTACTACTACTATTATTATTATTATTCCATATATTGTTTATTATTATTAAGCAAAATTGCAAACAAACCCCTGAATTATTGGTTAGTTGCAATATGGTCCTTCAAGATATTATGGGTATTGTACATTTATGATATTTTACCATTTTTATATAAATTAATAAGTGGGTGGGGGTATTTTGGTAATTTTGACCCTCTAGTCGCCCAAAAATGTAGTCAAGTGATCAAGAGGGTCCTTTTTGCAACCTTTTTACAGTTGAGGGTTCGATTTGCAACCCAAATAGTTTAGGAAGTATTTGTAATTTTAGTAATGATTGAGGATTTTTTTTTTTTTGAAATTTTACCAAAAATATATCACTCATTTATATATGAACAATGCTTCTTGATATTTTGTTGGGTCACCTTGTTATAAGAAGGAGATTTCTTCTTCTGCCAACTAAGGCAATTAGTATTATTCTTTATATATTCCTATGTCCAGACTCTACAGTCAAAAGTACACCAATACTGTTGCAGCTCAACCTTTTAAATTAAGAAACAATATTCTAGTATAACTTTCTCAGTATAATGTACAAAATCATAGAAAAAAAAGAATAAAATTAAAAAATTAAAAGGAAAGGAATATCATCAAAAGGGTACCCATATTTGCCAAACCTTAATATCACAATCCAAACTCCCACTGTAAACCAAATAAGAAATCCCAGATCCGGAAGAGTTTTTATTATCTATAGCTACAGTCAAAGACTTGACAGGACCATTATGCCCCTCCAACACTGCCAAACAAGAATAACTCCTCCCAACCCCTCTCTTCCAAACCCTAACTGTTTTATCCGCTGACCCACTGCACACCAAATCTGACACAACCGCCAAGCACAGTATAGCCTTAGTATGCCCTCTAAGTGCACCTGCCACCACCATATGCCCTCCTCCACCACCACCACTACCACCATCTCTCTCCCACACCATTATCGACCGGTCGCATGCGCCAGAATAAAGCACACTCCCATCATTGCTTAGAGCCAAAGCATTAACAGCTGACTTATGCTTCTCTAATGTATCAACAAGTTCATGTTTCTTCTCTCCTTCATTTTTCTTCCATACCTTTATCTTCCTATCAGCCGAACCAGTGTAAACAAACCCATCATTCGACAAGACCAGAGCGTTGATGGCGTCGTCGTGGGCATTCCAAACGGACTCCAAACACTTAAAATCTGATGTTCGCCACACTTTGAACGTCCGGTCCCAAGAAACAGAGTACAAAACAGAGCCATCTTTGGATAGAGCAAGTGCTGATATGGTGTCGACATGGTGAACCCATGTACACTTCTTGTGCCGGCGGACTTGGACGTAGTTCTTGGCCGAGAAGAGCCTCATGGCGCGGTCATTGAACGTTGGTAGCACGGCCAAGCACTTGTATCTGTGGTTTGGAGTGTCATTATCGACCTTCCAGACACGAATTTTGTGGTCTTGGTGTGCACTGAACAGCTTGTCACCCAATACTACCATGGACTTGACCGCGCTGTGGCCGGTTGCTACCATAGTCGAATGATTGAGGGTAGATGGATCACGGCTGCATACATTAATATCGCTGTTGGAGTAGCCGGTGTAGAGGTGTTTTCCGGCGAGGGAGAGGGCGAAGACGTAGGAGGGGCCTTTGAGGGTGGACAAGCAGTGGTGGTTGGCGGCGGCGGCAGTGGATTCATTTTGTTGTGGAGGTGGTGTTAGGGAAGGGACAGATGGTAGACTTGGTTGAGAGTAGAGGGAGGTGTTTGATGATGTATCTGATTGGAGGCTTTCAGACTGAGATCGAGGATCAGATTCTTCTTCATTTGTATGGCAAGGCAAAGGACATGGAAGAAGTCCCATTTGACACAGAGAGAGAATGAATGAATATTGAATTGAATATGGGTGGGTGAGGGGTTGAGTATAACATGCTTATAAATAAAGAGTCAATATGAAGGATAGGCGGATTTTAGCAAAATGGCGCATTCTAGCAAAAAATTGGAAGATGGGTTTCAAGGGCCAGGGTGGACTGACTTGACTATCCAATTTGAGGGGTGGAATCAGATTTTAGAAAATGGGTTGCATCACAGTGTCTGAATGGAACCAAAATTGCAGTGATCACAGCTATATATGTTTGCAATTTTTTAACACATTTGATGAAAGGGTATGAACCCTCTTTTTTGGTAACCCAAGTTCCAAGATACTTCCACAAATGGGGCGGGACAACAAGGAGATGGTTGTCTTTTGGGGCTGGCAGCAAGCCAATTCACATCAATTGGTGGGGGCTCATTTGTGTGGCCCACTAGTTTGTACAACTTGCTGCTTGCTTTTTTTTTTTTTTTTTGTAGCACATCTATAGCTAGGAAGGTAGATTAAATGTAAGCTCATAACTAATTGGGTATGTCCCACAACTTAGTTGTCATTTAAGATTAACCAAAGAATTTGGTAAATTACCATTTGGGATTGTTTGAGAAGACTGGTAAAAAATCTAGATATTAATATTGATAATTAATTAGGATTTTTTTTTTAATTAGGTTGTTGAGGATGAGATGGGTACACGCAGGGGAGTTGTTCTTTCATTATTATCATTATCATCATCATTATAATGTATGAGGCTGTGTAAAAAGGATTGGAAATGTTTGTGCCACTAGCTAGCCGCCAATTTTGGTAATTGGTAGTTCTAGGGACCAGTTGGACAACCCATTTTTGAATAGTCTAGTCCTCTTATCTTTAGAGAATTTAAGTTTGGAAAAACAAATAAAAGAAGCTGTGATAAACAAATTAAAGCAATAAAGCAATTTGATTTTTGGATAAGGAAGGTTCCATCAAAAGACATGGAAGCATCTCTCTCTCACACACTGAATTTAAAATGTATTGACAGAATGGCTCGTTTAGGGAACAACTAATTTAACTTGTGGAGTACTCTGTACTTTTAATAATATGTGGGAACACTTTGCTTATTCTCTTCATTGGTATTTGCCTTCCTTTGGGCAAATTCCTCGAAAGGAATGAGTCAATGACAAGATTAAAAAAAAAAAAATCAAATAATGTTTTTACTTACCAGGAAAATTTATAGCCCTTTTTAACATTTGACAGTGAAACTCATTTTATATATGAAAATTGAAATGAGGTCCATATACAATAAGATTTCATCACCACAATTTTGCTTTTGTTCCATAAGAGTAAGGTCGTTGGCATGTTATAATCGAAAATTGGGATTCAATGCTGTATAGAATGAGTCATGTGTAACATTCATGGGTGAGATTGAAACACAAGATAGTATATATTTGTATATGTTTCAATTACAGTAATTTGGTGTCCAAAAAAAAAAATTACAATAATTAATAATGAAAAAAATTAAAAAATTCCTGTACACATCTATGTTGTACAACAAGATCCGGATCCAATAATAGAAGCTCATCTAATAAATTACTCACTCCGTCTCAAATTAAGTGTCATCTAGCAGTGTCACTCACATTTCCCATCACTTAATGTGCGGAAGGAATATTTGATTGTAATGATAAAAACTAAGGTGAGTTGTTATTTTGTGACTTGTGAGTGGGTCAAAGGAATTTGGGATTTTTTTTTTTTGACAAATTAGTAGAGATGAGATTCGAACATAGGTACACTCACTCGAAGAACTAGACGCTCTATCAAATATACCACTGAGTAATGCCGTAATGTGTTTCTTCTATCTTATAAGGTCGCAAAATGTTATAATTTTTTTGTTCAACAAGTAAGTAACTGATTGAGATGAGATCCACACTAGGAAATTTAAATTATTAATTGAAAAAATGAGAATGAAAATAGAGAAATGTTCTCACGAGTGACATGGACCTAATGGGGCACGGTGGTGCACTTCATCTTCACATTTGTATTTAAGGCTAATTTCAAAAAAACTCCACTACTTTCAATTTTGGATCATAAATTCTTAACCTATTTTAGAAAACCCCCTATATTTTAAAAAGTGATTACATTACCCCAATATTCAAGTCCGACCAGTTAACCGAGCCGTAAAATATTGAATTTGATCCTACTATGTAATAATAAATTTAATAATTTAATACTTATTTGTGAAATTACATAAATACCCCCGTCTTCTTCCTCCTCTTCAACCCCTCCCTCTGCCGCTCATCTTTAGCATGGTTAGAGCCAGCACGAAGAGCAAATTCACGACGGCCTCGCCTTTGAACAAAGAATTAAGCAAAATCCAAAAACAAGGAAGAGGCCCAAGGTGTAATACCCCTAATTTTAAGAAGACGGTCCTAGAATTTATTTTAATTATTTATGTGCATTTTTACTAAATTTATTGTTTAAATTGCATTTTATTTGTTTAATTAATTATTTGCTTTAAATTGAATTATTATTTAATCGTGTTTTAGTTTAATTACTTATATTTTACTTGTTTTAAATTAAAATGGTAGTTTAATTAAGTTAAAGTGTTTTAGTTTAATTACTTGTATTAAATTAAATTGTAGTTTAATTAAGTTAAAGGATTTATGTATGTTTAGCCGACATAGGTTAAAACATAGGTTTTCTTGGGCTAACTAAGGGTTTCATTAGGGCTCTAATTATACAAGGATTAGGGTTGGAGTATTGAGCCTATAAATATATTATTTATGTGGGTTTACGGTTTTAGAAAACAAAACACATAAACTCTTTTCACATTACAGAGGGATACAGAGAGTGGTGAGGGCAGAGAAACAGAGAGAGAGTTTGAGTACACTACAGAGAGGTTCAATGAAGGTTGGACGGGGTGCTTCTGAGTCGACGGGTTGATGAGCAATTCAGAGACGGAAGTTTAGAGTTTCAAAGTCTAAAACTCAAGGTAAGTTTTGTTCTGCTCTATCTCTTTAATCTATGTTCTGTGCATGTTTAGGAAGATTCCAGGGATTAAACTAAGGCTTAATTATAACCTTTATGCATGTTTAATCAATGTTTCAATTCATGGAATTAAACCTATTCTTGGTTGTTTCAAAAAGATAGTAATAAAACTGTAACTTTGTAACCTTGCTCCGTTGTGTAACAATTTGTTTTCAATTCAAGTTTTGATTGTATATCATTGTTTTATAATCAATCTGGAATTAGATTAGACCTTAAAATATGTATTAAAAGTTACTACAGAGAACTGGTACTCACAGGAATCGGAGAAGACGACGAAACGGATGGAGGCTGTTAAGGGAAAAGAGAGCAGGCTCTTAAAATCCCTTAGAGCAGGCTCCTAGAAGGTTGGAACCGGCTCTTGGTGTTGTGGAGCCGGCTCTAAAGAGCCTAGAGCCGGCTCTAAAGAAAAAAAGAGCAGTCTCTTTAATTTCTAGAGCCTGCTCTCTCTTAAAACGTCCAGAAACTGATTTTTAAGGTTCATTTGGCTGAAATTGAATTTTCTGGAACTGTTTAAAGCTACTGAATGTTGTAATTAAGTGTTTGAGACTAATGATAATGTTAAGAAGCAAGTTCACATTCAGTTATTGAGGATGGGAATTAATCCAAGATCAAATAGAGGACTCGTAGGTGGATAATTGAATATTTAACTTAAACTGCTTACTGTTTTAGCAATTGGGTTTTTCTGCTTGATCTTAAATTATGAATCATGTTTTCAGCTGTGTTAAGAGCATATAACTGTTTAAATATAGGTGTTCTTAGATGGAATTAAACATGTTTAAAATTTCGGTACATTGCATTAGTTATGGTGCTGTTCGGAGGAGTTGGTTGTGTAGCCTAAGTTTATCAGATTCAAGGACTGGTACCTGTATTCTAAATCTGTTGGTGGATGCATAAATTTGTTAAACACATGTTAAACTATATTTGTGCTTATTTTGGAATAAGTTAATAGTGAGTTTCTATTAAACTGCATCAAGTTAAGTTTGATTTGAGGAAACTAAATTAATAGTCTTATTTCAGTAATATAAGAACTATATTGTAATATCTAAATTTTAAATTGGTTGCATAATTTGTTCATACATATAATGGACTGTATTTATGCTTATTTTGGAGTATGGTTGATGGTTAATTGTTATTGATTTATCAACTATTTTGGATGGAGGATGGTATGCACCGGTATGGGACGATGGCATACTAGGTCGGTATTAGTTTAAACACTATAACTTGCCAATACTGGATAGAGGGGTGGATTTAGCATAAAAGTTCAGTCCTACTCATATATGTCATATGAGCAATGAATTGAATGACCTACTCTGGATTGTGGATGGATTGTTATACAATTATTAGACCACTACTACAGATGGATGATATTTTGTATTAAGAGGAGTACAGACTTTTATATAATTATTATATAGTGCCATGATATGAGCTTGAGTCTTATGACCATGGTTAGGGCGCGTATATCACCTAGGATGAATAACTGGACATAGGTGTTGTTCCCTGGTAGGTCTAGGTACACATGCCCACTTTAGGGTGCGTATTTGCATGTTGCCTTCTATTCAGGCTGAGACAGACCTACTGGACTAGCGAGCGTCCTATAGTGTGTACTATATACATATATGGACTACTCTAGATATTGTTGAATCTTCCTAGGATGTATCTGCATATCAGATTACTGTTTAGATTGTAATAGATCAGGACTTGCATGTGGGTCTGACCCACCCTTTTATTTTTCAGGTGTTCGTTAGTTCCAGGGGTTAGAGCTTGGATGTGCAAAGCAGATATAGATATTCATTCCTCCGATTATGTAGGAATCTTCTCTATGTTAGCTTTGGATTTTATTTCTATTATTTCAGTTTTGGTTTGAGAATTTTAATAAGGGGTCCAATGGATGGATTCCCTAATTGTAAACTTATGGAGTTTTGGATTATCGGAATTGATTAATTATGATATAAGGATTTTCTTTTAGTTTCTTTCAGCTTAATATATTATTTCGTATTTCACTTGATATTCCGTGTTCGATTTAAAATACTTTAATTGTTCGA